TTTTGAATACATGGGGTTTTCAAATTCGATTGTCGAGTTATTTTGATACATTTTTGACCCATTTTGTGAAATCCCTTTTTATAATGCAGAGAGAAAAAAAAATTTCTCAAAGCAACCAAACTTTTTTTTCTAACAATTCAGATTTTGGGAGCTCCTGATATGGCTCCCGGACAAAAATGCGACTCTGTATAACTCAACCTCACTTATTCTATTCTACTTAAATCCCCAAAAACAATATATATCATTATATTTAGTGAGAAATAATAATGGTTGACTGTGTGTGCATTTCTTTTCATTGAAGAATCGAAAAGAAAGGCAAATTTATTTAAAGCCATCAAAACCTAACTTTTTTATTTATTACAATTTTCTACACTTGCATAAAAACTTGAAAGTATTCGCAACTGATGGTACTGATTAAAAATAACATTTCTATCTAAAAATAGCATTTTCCTATTCATTATTTTTTCAGAAGAATTTATTCAATTGCTCGATTTCCAAATGTTTAAATGAGAGATGCTTTGTCATGCCTATGAAATTTCTAAAACTGCAAGATGATTTTGAACCAAAAATCTCAAATAATTTGTTTTAAAAAAATTATAAAAATATATATTATAGTTTTTTTTTCTTTTTTTTGAAGTTAAATATTTTTATTAACTAATATTTTTATCACTATTCTGCTATTCTGTTAACCTTTAAACGTTTGTTAAAACCTTTTAATATTGTTATACTTAAACTAATAATTGTTCTCAGTAACTAACCAAATGTTAAGCATTTCCAGGAAACAATTATCTTGAAACTACATCCTATATTTTATCAGTCAGCAAACTTGCTTATCAAACAGAAAAGCAAACTGGTTAATTAGAACGGGGAAAGAAATTTTGTTCTTAATCGATAGTTAACAAATTATTCTTGTTAAAACAAATTCTGAATTTACTAATACTATAATCAAACTCATATTTCAATTCTCTTTTGATTAAATTCTATTTCTATTAGCCGAATCTTTGCCTTAGCTTGGAGTAAACAAGGATTTTTCAATCAGTTAAAATTAAATGGTAGCCAAAAATAAATTGAACGCCCTGTATATTTGTCAAGGAAGGTAGTTAAAAAGCAATTTGTTAAAAATCAATTTTTTTAAATGAAAATGTAAAAAAATAAAATAAATAAATGAGTCTTATCATTTCTCAAAATCTTACATCTAGCTCCTTGTTTAAGACAAACCACGTATTGATACACTGTTAGAAATTTCTGGGTAAAATGATTGAATAGCAATTTATTTTTGAATAGCAATGATTGAATAGCAACTTATTGAATATTCAAATAACAAGAAAAAAATGGTATTCTAACTGTTAAGTGCTTGAAAAGCCATTTATTGATTGTTTTTACCTAATACGGTCGAACAACCATAATTCTATCCGCGCCAACAAGACCCATCTTATGGAGCCACTTAGTTCCTTGCATGCTATAGTCGAGTCGACTAATCTCGTAATCGGTTGAAAACAAGTTCGAATCCCAGATTTGATACTACACTAGGGAACCGATTATCCGGAACGATCGGGACCATCACTATTCCGGATAACTGATTTTTCCGGTTTTCTGAATCGCTACAAAAAGCCGTTTTTTTATTGTTAAACCCAACTAAAAAAAANTGTTTTGAAATATTTGCTTTTGTACTGTTCTTTTTTTTCTTGTGTATTTTCAGAAAATGTCTTTGGAACAAACATGTCTATTGGTGAGAAGGTGGTCACCGCGGTCGGTGAAGAGCAGGACGGCCGTGTGGAATACAGATCCAATCTACGAAGCATTCATCCTATCACGTGATTGAAACCAAGGACATTAATAGACATACGTCTACATTCTTTTGTTCTTTTACAAGTACACCATTATTGTTAGAATGACTGGCTCGAGGAGGATGCCAGTGGAAATTGTAGCTTACTTGCCTATTATTGTTAATATATATTTTTATTAAGTTTAGCACAGCTTCTTTATTTTTGAGAAACCCTCGCTTCACCCCCTTTATCCTACATTTATTGGCCAGAAAATCACGTGGTAGGATCCAGTTTTCCCCATTCATTTCCATATTGTTTAGGTCGTAATCAGCAGCTCTCTCTGGTTATTTCAGTTTCCGTTTTTAAAAGCGCTATATGTTGAGCCATCTCAGCTAGATTTGGCATGTGGCATTTTTAGCGACAATCATTGGTCGATTTTCTAGCGTTGCCATTCGGGGAGTTGTAATGAGGCTTTTTTTTGTCGTTGTGTAAGAGAAATATATATATAGATAAATGAGTCTTATAATATCTTAAAACCTTACATCTAGCTCCATTTTTAAGACAAACCACACTGTTAAAAATAATTGATACACTGTTAGAAATTTCTCGGTAAAATGATTGAATAGCAATTTATTTAATTATTATTTTACCATATTCTATTGAAACAGTCAAATAACAGGAAAAAAGAACGGTATTCAAACTGTTAAGTGTTAGAAAAGCCATTTATTGATTGTTTTTAACAAATATGGTCGTACAACCATAATTCTATCTGCTCCAACAAGGCCTATCTTATGGAGGTACTTAGTTCCTAGTCAAGTGGGCCAATCTCATAATCGGTTGAAAACAAGTTCGAATCCCAGATTTTATACTACTATATTTCTTCCATTCATTCGATACATGAAGAGTTTCTAGTACTTTACACTCTTTAATCGATGATCTGTTAGAATACGAAACTATCATTCGCGTATGAAATCGCTGCCCCCACAGCACTTCAATGTCCATTTAATTTTTATTCTTATGGTTTAGAAACTATGCTAGCAGTAAATGATTACAAAACCGTATAATTTTCTATACTTGTTTTTTTAACAATATCAGTTGTAAACAGTTTCAAAACCGTAAAGGTAAAAAAATGTTCCTAACCATAAACTTTATGGAAAATCGGATGAACAGACTGCTGCCGGTTATTTTCCCGTTATTTCAGAATTAAAATTAGAATTTAAGTTTTATTCTTATGGTTCAGAAACTATGCTAGCAGTAAATGATTACAAAACCGTATAATTTTCTATGCTTGATGTTTTTTTAACAATATCAGTTGTAAACAGTTTCAAAACCGTAAAGGTAAAAAAATGTTCCGAACCATAAACTTTATGGAAAATCGGATGAACAGACTGCTGTCGGTTATTTTCCTGTAATTTCAGAATTAAAATTCCGACTGTGTATAATGATTACAAAAGACACGAGCCCGAATAAGGCAGTATACTCTAGTTTCCTCGCGTTTCGTATCTCTGATAACTCATTATGCGTTATCTTTTCTCCTGCTGTGCTTTTCGTCAATTGAGTAATTCAACTGATTCATAAACTTTCGTAAGGATTATAAAGGGAATATGACAGAGTCCCTCAGTTTAATATATACAAAAAATATTTAGAACAAACTTTCTTACCAAGCAATTTATTCTCACCAGTTACTTTTCGATATTACGATTCTTCTATCTCTTTTCTTCTTATTATTATTATTCCGATTAGAGTTTTTGCTAGTTCAAGTGCTCATATATTCCTAGTTTTATAACCTACCATGGTTTTCAACAACCATTATATTCACGGTTCCGTTTCATGTTTAAATTATGATGGAATTTTCCCTTTTCCCAGTTTTTCGCTGAAATGGTTTACAGTAAGCCACATATAGACCTATTAAAGCACCATAATATTTTTTTTCAATTAAAAAACTGAAAAATTATAAAATCAAAAGTTGCGCATATACGTTTTGTTGATTTAGTGCAATACTGTATATTCAACAATAAAAAATTAACGCCTTTTATAATTTCCACCACATTCTAATTAAATTTTTGTCTTTCAAATTTCTGAAGCTAAAGTACACAGAACAACAATCAACAAAAAATGTGATAAAAATTTACTTCAACCTTAAAATGGTGTTGATTTAAATCTTATTCTCGTGTAACTTAAGCCATCTTAAAATTTATTACGCGAACTCTAATTCAATCAAAGCGGAAATGTGATCAAACAATATGTTTGGGGTAGTAACCATTTCTTTTTTCAAAGGTGACATTCTTTGAATCAAACTATTCCTTAGTACTGTTCTCAATATATAGGGTAACAATTACTGAATAATATCAAATAAATCGTAGAGTATTTAAAAGCTATTGAGTGCACAAACTTTATTCAAAACTGCAGATGTTCTGTTTTAGGTTATGATATGTGCGATATACCTGCCATCATTGACTATGATGTGAAGCGGACAAATAGCAAAATTCTGATTGATCCGCTGAAGTGTCGAAACATCGATGCTGTCGATGACCTCCTGAATGGCAGTTTTCAGCTCAGTGATACTGTCGATGACCTCCTGAATTGCAGTTTTCAGCTCAGTGATACTGTCGATGACCTCCTGAATAGCAGTTTTCAGTCCAGTTATGCTTCCATGACCTCCTGACTGGCAGTTTTCAGTTCAGTGATGCTGTCCATGACCTCCTGAATGGCAGTTTTCAGCTTAGTGATGCTGCCAATGACCTCCTGAATGGCAGTTTTCAGTTCAGTGATGCTATCGATGACCTCTTGAATAGCAGTTTTCAGCTCAGCTCGCACAAAAATTTCCGTCGAGAAACAATCAGTCTGTTATTGCTCGCATAGTAGGTCTTCAAGTGATATACGCTCAGGGGCACGCTATACCGTGATATTTTCACTTGCAAATGACCTACAACAAGTTGCATACGTTTGTGCATACAAATTCCCATCATGTCCTGCGGCCCACCACGAAGTTTGAACTTCGTTCAGTAAGTTGAATCACGTTTACGGTTCAGAAGTTATCATGGTTTTATTTCAAATAGTTCAATAATTGTCACCCTGTAAATATTTGACTAATTCCCAGAATTTCTTTGAAATGGCAGAGTAATAAAATAAACAACTTTTTCCCTCAACTGTAACATTAGAGTTTATCCCCAAAAACTTGATAAGTCACAAACAAAGAAGGCAGCAATGAGATGCGTTGTGAGAAAAAAAATTTTAATACGCATGGGGAATTAATTCATAACTGAAATGACAGTTTTGATGAGGACGCATATCAGTACTTTGATTAACGCCTACAGCTTGATAAATCTCCTGTTTTAAGCTCAGCTAATTAATTAGTGAAAATAAGCTAATTAGTGCATACGATGTTTTAAGTTACGAAATCAGACACAAAAACGTATTATTCTCTGAATAAACATACCTTTTTTTAAACAGATTCGGATTTTTGACCCCCAAAGTATTGGAGGTAACAACAAACTGGGAAATATGGTCCCAATAGTTTGGTCAAGAGAACTGTGCAATGTTTAGATGTTTAGACTCCTTAACGTTGCAGAAAATTTTCAATTTGCTTAAAAAGTTCTCGAGACATGGCGATCTATGCAAAAAATAAAATTAGCATTAAAGGGTCCAATTTTTTTACTGCTTTCCTAAACAAATTACAGGGACCATTTTTACCAGATTGAGGCTACCCCCTTTAATTTGGGGGTCAGAAATCCTAATCCCACGAAAATAAGGCATGTTTATTCAAAGAACGCTTTTGTGTCTGATTTCGTAACTTAATAGCATCGTCTGCACTAATCTATTAGCATGTTTAAGTTCACCCCTTCAAATCTTTAAGATTGAGTCCTAGAACGAGAAGATCCGATCATTAAATCAAAAGTTATTCAGAGTGGTCCGTTTGTTATTTAATGCATTATACTACAATCTTTTCATTGGACTGATAAAAATAAAAGCGATATAGTGGATTATGGCTACACTATAAAATATAAAAGAAAATGTCGGACATATAATAGCTCTTGAGGATAGAAAATCCAAGAATCATTAATTTTAGTTTTCTATTTATTTATTAAAATTTTATTTCTAAATTTCATTAGTAACTCCATGCGCTTTTTCCTTTTTTTTTCAATTTTTTTTACAATTATTTGCGAGGAATATAAAGATAAATGAAACAAATGCAAGTTCTGCATTAATATTTAAAATATTTACCTAACATTTAAAAGTTTAATACCTAATATATAAAAGTTTATGTAGTGATCTAGGACGTTAGTAAAGCCATTAAAATTATGAAACTTTTTTAAGAACTAAAATAATGTTTTCTAACGCATCTTAACGTAAGTGTTTTATGATTATATTGCCCCAATACCTTCTATTTAACACCTTTTTAAAATGTATGAATGTTTTATAATGTACGATAAAATTTGATAAATGCGGTAACATTTGGTAATTTTATCATGATACTTTAGAGCGGGGCATATAAAACCTTGTTATTTGGTTAAATGTACTTTTTTTCTACTTAATGTTGGGTAATAAGAAAAAAAAATTAGAATTCAGAATTTTCAACAAAACGTTACCATATAAACGGAAGAGGTACCAAACAAATGATTTAAATACCATATACTTTGGTTTTATTAACTAGTTAGAATCATGGTTTTCTTTTTATCAGATATGACATTACAGATTGGTAATTTTACCAGATTTTTTTCTCCGTATGAGGGTGCAAAAATAATACGAAAATTGCTTTACTCACCTGAAAGCGAATGAATTTCGGAACTTCTGATACCTCTCCTTCTAGTAATTTATTAGCAATATCAGTTACCTACAAAAGAATAGATAAAAAAATTATTTTTAAATAATTGTCTTAAAAACATTTAAAACGAAGTGCAATTTTTTAGAATCATATTAAATTAAATAAATACTAGGTCGTTACTAAATTTATAAATAATGATCATAGTTAATTCTATAGTATTGTAGTATTTGTTTTCATAATAAATTGCAAGTTCTTTAATCAACTGTTCGTTCTTAAAATTAATTATTGTACATAATAGCTCATTAATTTTAATCTTACTTATCTTACTATCTTACTAATCTTACTTAATCTTAATATTAATTTTAACTTTAATTTTAATTTTCATCTTTGTATTTTTCTTTTTACCGCAATACGGTAATGAACGGTCCAAAATATGGTACTTTAACGTATTATTCAAGTTTTTGCTTTGTTTGTATTCTTGCTTTTGCTCTGTTTATTGTTATGCTAGTAGTAATTCTCGTAGCAAAAATTTTTCGCAAATAAGGTTTATTACTACATCTTTTCTAAAAGTAGTTCATAAAAGAAATTTTTAGAGCGAATTTTTTATCTCGTTCGGTAATCCGCTTTCTTTTTTCATATATCAGGAAGCTACTGTAAATAATTTGAAAACCGCACTGTTTTATATTCATGGTTCTTTAACCGTGCTAGTTGTAAACGGTTAAAAAACCGCAAAGGTAATAAATGTTATTTACAATACATTTAACGGTTAATTAAATAGGCAAACTGCTGCAGGTTATTTAACTGCGATTTTAGAATGAAAATTCTAACAGTGAAGAGAAGCAATCACTCGAAAATCAATCATGTTCTGATGTAATCAATTAAAGAATAATATAATAAGTAGAAATTTTCTCATACGTCATTTGGTTTTCTGCTTCCATAACTCTCATTTTATTACTCATTTCATTAAACTCATTTGTAAATTCGTTAAACTGATTTGTTTCGAAATCGTTTTCTTTTAATCTGTAGAGAATAATTTCCTCAAATGACAATCCTTACACCATATTGAATTTTACAAACAAAGTTGTCACGAAGCATTTCTTCATTTTTAACTGTAAAGTGAAATGCGTGACATGGAATCATAAGCTAGAACGAAGTGATTCATAGCGATCAAACATGATTTTTAAAACTAAACAACTAAACTCCTTTCCAAAGAACAATAGTTTTCGTACTCTTCAAGAATTTAAGCCATGATTATATTAAACTTGTACCGAAAACATTTTTGTTTTAGAAGTGATTCATAAATATATAACTTTAATGATGCTCTTTAAGTATTCTAATGGCTGTTTAAATATTTGAGCTTAAATAATATCTACATTCTATTTGATAAATGCCATGTGTAGTTTTTTTTGAAGATTTTTCCTATGACAGGCTGTAGATTTATAACAAAAGTTTGTTTTTTAAATGTAACACTCAGAGCGAGTAAAATTATTTCATAATTGCTATGCCAGCTTTGTAGCATAAATAAGAAATTAATGCTCCAGTTATATTTATATTGACTCACTGAAACGAAGAAATGTCTATTTTTTGAAAACAACAAATGCATTTTTTACTTAGGTTTGATTACTCGGACAGGGTTCATACGCAGTGGTAGTAATATTTATGTGATTTTTTTTTACATTATTATGCTTATAGCTACTAAAATATTATGGAGGATAGAAAATTTTAGTTCAAAATTGGAAGCTAATATTAAGAAATTTTAACATTCTTTATAACAAAATGTATACCAGTTTTTAACTATCTCCAGGTGCGTACGAACCATGACGCACTGAAAATTCTGGTAAAAAAATTATCATACTGTTTGGTAATATTTCCGGCAAAAAAAAATTTATGAATAAAACCAAAATGTATGACTTTTAAACAATTCATTTGTTGATTTTTATTTCGCATGACAACAGATTATTAAAAATTCTGGTTTTCAAAATTATAGTTCTGGATCTTTTTAAGCGCCATTATTTACCTCAGTAGAAATACATTAAAACGGGAAAGTAATTATTGCATACTTCAGTTTATTTAGTTTTCCCTGAGTTTTCGCCTAATTTCTTGAATGAGAAAAAACAGAAATCATTATCATTTATTTTAATTCGAATTCTGTGAATTTTGCTACTCTCTCAACAGGTGGCACCACCACGCCACATTACCACACATGTAGTAATAATTACAAAATTGATAAGTAATTTTAACTGAATAAATGATTTTTATACCAAGCTAGTACGAATCATGATAAAATTACCGAAATGTTGCCAAACTTTACCTCATTTACTACCGAGTATATTAGAAGAAAATATCTTACCGTTAGTTTCTCCAAAATCATTTGAAGTAAAAATTAAAGTAAAAATTACATAGGTTTTGGTGTTCCCATAGAGCTACAAAAAAATAAAGTTTCAGTTTGTAGATAGTTTTGTCCATACTTTCTTCTCAGTGTACAATGTAACATCACCTTTTTATTTTAGTTACTTTCAAATGGTGTAACGTCGAAAAAATAGTGCTTCTAACTATTTATTAGACATTAAACAAATCTTAGAGTGAAGAGAGAGATAAGTACACTTAAATCGCAATTAAGATGTAAGTAGAGACATGGACATTAAACAAATCTTAGAGTGCAGAGAGAGATAAGTGCATTTAAATCGCAATTGAGATGTAAGTAGAGAATGGACATCATATATCATATTAAAATCATATTCATCCATGGGATGAAATTTACATTAAAACCTCTAGAAATATCAGATCCCAGAAACTAAATAAAATTAGTTAATATTTCCTAATAGCTTTCCAAAACAAGAAGAATAATAAGAATATAATCTTTCTAAAAGTATAACAAAAGTAATGTTCTCAATAAGATGGAGGTGAAACTTTCCAAAGCAAACAACCTCCGCAACACAAATTAGGATTGGAATTGAGCGAGCCATGACCTAGCATAGTTAAAGTGGAAAGTGCAATAATAACAAAGAATTAAAGATGAAAACCTTTATCTGGGAAGATTTTTCAACATATGCTCAAATAAGTGACCACAGCTACTGTGTGGGATTCAAATTGATCACAGAGGGAATCATGCAGACGGTTCCCGCAATCTCACTTCTTACAGTCTTGAGTCTTTAGCAGTGACCATAATTTAAACGGAAAGGTCTTGTGATGTTTCCATGGGTATCTCATATTCGGCACCTTTTAATCTACCAGAAAAAATTTATGCCGGACAAATCAAGATCTCTTTGTGTCCACGATACAATAACGAGGCCAATTCATGTCTTAAAACTAAAGCATTCCCGGTGAAATTCAACTCCTGATAAAGCTTCCTTTCACTGTTTGCCTTTTGCTTTCTGCACCAACAATGTGTCGGAAATGTCTTTATTTTAGAAGCTTTATAACCACTTACAGTTGCGACCAATAGTTTCGTTATGCCCTGTGTAAAAGATTACATTTAATAACATTGATACAAGAACGAGGCCAATTCATGTCTTAAAATTAAACTATTTCCGGAGAAATGTAACTCCTGATAAAGTGCTCTTCCGCTGTTTGCCTTTTGCTTTCTGGACCAACTATGTGTGGGAAAAGCTGTTTTTTTAGAAGCTTTATAACCACTTACAGTTGTGACGAATAGTTTCGTTATACCCTGTGTAAAAGATTACATTTAATAACATTGACACAAGAACTTGGCCAATTCATGTCTTATAGCTAAAGCATTCCCGAAGAAATGTAACTCCTGATAAAACGCCCTTTCACTGTTTACCTTTCGTTTTCTAAATCAACATTGTGCGTAAAAAGTCATTTTTTTTAGAAAATTTAATCACCCTTTAAAGTTGTGACCACTAGTTTTGTTACTCACAGTGTAAAAGATTACATTTAATGCAAAATAGAAATATTTCAAAAATAATATCCTGAAAAATGACTCATGTATTAGCAAAAGATAAGTGTACAGCATTAAAACGAAGTTGTACAAAATAAGCATTTTCCTTAAGAAATTATAATCGCAAATTAAAGGCATCTATTTCATAGAGGATTCATTCATTTATGCATTTATATACAAGTCGGTGCGAAGTAATTCTGTAGCAGTCATTCAAATATTACTGATGCGAAAAAAGATCATATTTATAACATTTCATTCACTATCAGTCTCAATGATCAAACCAGAATAACTCGTTGAATGTTTTCTCATTGCTACAGCGAATAAACTACGTCATCGGATTGGAAAATTTAATTCGAAACACAATCCCATAATTTGCAATGAGTAGTGCAGATGTCGGTATTCCCTAAAATCCAAATAGCAGATATTTAACAATGTTTTTATTATTTGATAATTATTTTTTTATCAATATCTCTACACTTTTATTATTAATCTTTTATCTTTATCTTCTTTATTATTTTTCCATTCGTTATGTCTTCAGAATGATTACAAAAGCATTTAAAGAATTATTGATTTTTAGCAATAACATTTTGCGCTCTATGCAATTACTTATAGTATTTAACTGGTTGATCTTAAGAAAGTTGTTTAATCGCGTTTTTTATTAAATCAAATTAGTTTATAAAAACTCTATACTTTTAGACTATTTTTATTATTTTAAAAAACAACTTGGTCTTTTTTTTCCTTTCACGCCTTGTTTAACACGTAAATGATTTTTATTGGGATAAAAAAGCATTATTTAGTTTAGTTCCTGAGATAAGATTGTTATCCGTGTTACAGCCATGTCCGTTTAGTGTTATCGTTTACTATGTACATTTGACAAGCATAATCAAACAATTATTGTGATATCACTCGAATGCTGGTGTACTGTAAATAATACCCCCTAAATCAGCAATAAAATTTTACAATTTTGGTGTTCCCAT